GTGAAATTGTACCAGGTCTTGGTATAACAATTAAAAAATGTGGATCGGAAATTGGGTTTGAAGTCGTCAAGTATTCTCTTACTTTTCTATTTCTGAAGCTTGCAGGAATTCCATAATTTAGCAAATTATCCAAAATTTTTCTTTCGGTTGTCTCGGAATTTTTTAATATATTCAATGATTCCTCATTACGAGGTTTTATAAAGTGAACATACGAAGTTGTGATTTTATTTATTGGAACATATTCTTGTATCTTTATTAATATTGAATTGGCTTTAAATTCCGAAAGTGCGGGTCCACCCGGCAAAATTAACATATTCGAAAGAAAGATGTTTTTCACAAAAAGATGAGCAATCGCACCAATAAACGAATAGCTATGAGTTCATAATTTCGCCTGACATTATAATCCTTTTCTTAATAGAAACGATTAATGATACAATACCATATATGTTTATAATTAAAATTTTGAATAACTTATTCATATAAGTAGCTATTTATTATATTACTTTATTTTAAAATAAAAAAATATTTATACTAAAATTATTATTATTATAAATTAAATATTAAATTAAATTTCAATTATAAATAAATTTTAATATAATTTAATTATTAAATTTAATTATAAAAAAAAAGATTATTTGAAAAATAGTATTAATTTATTTTATAAGTTCTAATTTGATAATATAAGATAAATTAGTGTTAAATTATAATTAATGTTAAGAATTAGATATTTACTGTATTACCAAATTATTATACAAATAGTATACAATTTTTAAAATTATTATTATGTGATAAATTGATAATCTGTGTGTAGTTTGTATCATTATAAAATATATTTATAAAAATGCTATACATATATTTTTTAACTCTTCATAATCTTCTATTTTAATTTATTCAAATTGTAATAAAAGTTGACATTTTTAAAAAGAAATTATATAAAGATAATATTACTTATTTAAATTTATTTTTAAATTTGACAAAATGTTTAAACCTTTAGATTTGCTAATTTTTACTTAAGTTTTAATATAAATTTATTTTAAAATAATATCATAATTAAAGATGG